AATGAGAGACTCCCCCCTGGGCACACAGAGGACTGGGCGACTTGGAAGGCGCTGAACAGACTGCGCTCTGGCACCACGAGATGCAGAGCCAACCTTCAGAAATGGGGCTACAAAATGGAATCCTCGACATGTGAGTGTGGAGAGGAGCAAACCACTGACCACCTGCTGCAATGCAACCTGAGCCCTGCCACATGCACAACGGAGGACCTTCTTGCAGCAACATCAGAAGCACTCCAAGTGGCCAGATACTGGTCAAAGGACATTTAATCAACTACCAAACTCACACATTTTGTATTCTGTATTTTGTATTTTTGTATTTTGTCTGTTTGTTTGCTTTGTTCTGTTAGAAATGTAATATAATTGACTGGTTGCTGATGACTCAATAAATAAATAAATAAATAAATAAATATCATTACCCAACCTTTGGGGAGAGGGTTTACAATGAGGCGTTTCCCTCATGCAAATAGTCATTTGAAAAACAGAATTAGGATTCAAAGTGCCCACAATTTAAAAGAAAGGATAACAATACTACTACTGCTAATAATAATAATTTATTACTAATCTTATGTCCCCGTTGTCCTTCAAATTCGCAGAACCCTGTAGGGGCGAGTTTTCCTTCGTTTCCTTTGTATTCATTAAGAACATTAACAATAACATTTATTGAAACCAACATATGTATGCATACATGCATGCGTAATACATACATCAGGCACGGACAAACTTGGGCCCTCCAGGTGTTTTGGACTTCAACTCCCACAATTCCAAACAGTTTACTAGCTGCTAGGAATTGTGGAAGCTGAAGCCCAAAACACCTGGAAGGTCAAATTTTTCCCATGTCTGGTTTATAGCACTGGATTGTTACTTTCTCTGGAGTAATGAGAGCTCCTGTTGTATTGTCATGATCAGGTGGAGAATCAGGTGGTTTCTAAGAGCAATAAAATCCTGAAAACTGGACACATTACTAGGAATTGTAGGAGTTGAAGCCCCAAACACTAGAGGGCCGAAGTCTGCCCATGACTGATATATATACATATAAACGTACAATTTCAATGTTAT